GAGTAGCCGCGGCGGCCCGCCGCGGGGCCGCCGCGCGCCAAGGCGCGCGCGCGCGCTGCGCCGCCGCAGAGGCGGCCTTTCTGCTGCGCATCCCCTCATGCCCGCGGCCCTGCGCCAAGGCGCCCACGGCCCCACTTCCCTTTGCCCGCGGCGCCCCCAGCGCGCGCGCCGTGACCGCCCCCTGCTCCCCACCCCGCCCGCCGCCGGCTCGCCGCCTGCGACCGCGGCCACGGCAGTGCGGGTGCGCCTGCCTGAGCCACGCGGGCGCGTTTTGCCCAACCTTTGGTGTCGTGAGTATGCAGTGGTATTGAGCCGCGGCGCCGTGCCCCTGTCGCGCGCGCGCATGCGCGCTCCCAATTGTCCCAGGGCTCTGTCACAGCGATTGTCCATTGTAGAGCGTCTCCCGCGGCCTCGTCTCCCGCTCGAGCCCGCCCCACACGCACGAGCGGGTGCATGCCGCCGGCGGCACCACACGCGCGCCCGCGCAGCCAGCGGCGGTGCGCCGCGGCAGCTGGGGTGGGCGAGGGCGGGGGCGTGGGCGCGGCCTCCCGTCCGAAAGCCTGTACAACAAAATCGACAGCAAACCTCTGTCCGCGCGGGGCACCCCAGGCAAGCACGCGCCGCGCGCGCACGCGCACGCCTGCGCGCCGCGCGCCGCGGCGCCCCCTCTTGCCTGGCGCCGCCCGAGGCTCTCGCGCCGCGCGCGGCCGCGCGCACGCCGCGTCTCCCCCCTCTCTGGGTCGCCCTAGAGGGTGTGAGGGGCGGCGGCAGGGCGGCGGCGCGTTGGGCGCGGCGGCACCCAAAACCGTCAAAACCCTTGAAACGGCCGGGGGCCGGCGGCGGCGAGGCGCGCGTCGGCCAAAACGGGTCACAGCGACACGAACAGGAGTTGACCGCGCGCCGCAGCTGCGCGCGCGTGCGTGTGCGCGTGCTTGCGCGCGCTTGTGTGTGTGCGTGTGCGCGCCCTACGCTCCCGCCGTTCGAGGGCGGGCCAGGCGCCACAGGGCGCCCCACCCGACGCTCAAACGCGGCGGCCGGCCCCGCACCCGCGGCGCCCGCGGGTGCGCCGGGGCGCGCCCGCCACCGCCCTTCGTCCCGCCCCTTCGCCCATTTGTTCGACCGTCGTCAGTAGTAGCGCCGTCCCTTCTCATCTGCGTTTGAGTGGTTTACCCCCAGCCCTTCGGCTCCCGGCCGTGGTGTGTTGCCCCCATCGACCCCAGCGTCCCATCAGCCGAGGCCCCCTGCGGCCCACCCCCTCTCCCCCAC